GCAGTGGCTCCTCTGTTTCTCCAGAAACCAGATTAGAGGAGGACTTCCAGAAGGCCATCTTGGAGGTGCTAGCAGGCCCTTTCAGATGCATGGCTCCTGCCTCTAGCCTAAGTCCCCCTCCTGCATCCGGTGGCTTATGGTTGGTTTTCACTACCTGACCAGGCCTGAAACCACTGGTAGATCTTGTTTATTCCTCAGCTTCCCTAAAGGGAATCCTCCCTCTGAGAGCAGCGTGCAGACTTCCCCTCTCTGCAATTATCGCACTCAATAGTCAGCAGGACCTGCTGACTTGCAGACAGAGGTTCTGGAACTGGGCTATTGTTTGTCTGTTGTTCTTCCTCGTTGAATAAAGTGGTCAGGATAACCCCTGCCCTGCCCACCTCACAGGCCAGTGGAGAGGAGTAGTAATCATTTAGCCTGGACGGAGAGCTTTGCTTGGGTTAATGCAATCTTCACAAAAACCCATGAATAGACACTGTCAACCCCTATTATAGATAAGGAAACTGAGACATGGAGAGGTCAAGGAACTTGTCCAAGGTCACTGACTAATAAGAGATAGAGTCAGGGTTCATATATCAGGCAGTCTGGCTTCAGAGTTCCCGCTCCTAAGCACTGTGCAGGGTCACCATCTAAATGTACTGTAGCTTGGCCACAGTAGGTGCTCAGTGATCAGCACCTCCCTTGACTGTGATGTAGACCCTATGCTCATCCTGATACAGAAGCAGGGCCTGCCAGAAGGTCGCAGCCAGCAGTGACTTGCAGAGCCTGAGAATCCTAGTCTTGGACCTCTCAAACCAGATCAGGTTGTCATCCACATTAATTTATTATGAAATGGTCACTTTTAGTGTTCTCATTTTTTGCAATGTAGACAGGTTGAGAATTTCCCCAAATTAAAAACAATTTTTTTGGCTTTTAATCAGTTAATTTTCAGAAGTGAGTTCTTGCTATGTTTCCCAGCTCGTCTCAAACCCTTGGCGTCAAGTGATCCTCCTGCCTCAGCCACTAGAGAACTGTCTGGGACTATAGTTGTGAGCCACCCTGCCCAGCTTCAAATCTTTGTTACCTTCTTTTTTTGTTTAACCATTCTACCTCTAAGTCATTTTTCTCTTCTCATATTCTATTGTAAACAATCAAGAGGCCCCAAGCCACACCTTTAATACATTGCTTAGAAATTTTCTCAAACACCCAATTTCATGGTTCTCAATTTCTACCCTTTATAAAACACTAGAACACAAACACAATTCAGTCAAATTCTTTGGCACTTTATAACAAGGATTGTTCAGTAATGTGTTCCTCATTCCTGTTTGAGATCTCACCAGAATGGCTTTTTTTTTGAGTCAGAGTCTCACTCGGTCGCCCAGACTGGAGTGCAGTGGCCTAGAATGGCTTTTAGTGTGCATTTTCTGCCAATATTCTCTTCAGAATCTAGATATTATCTAAGAAGACTGAGGCTTTCTCTAAACTCTAAGCTCTTCTCTGTTCTTAGCCACCCCACAGGGCATCTCACCAGAATAGCCTTTAAAGGTTGGTTCATGGCAATGTAGGATTTTTTTTACCATGCACCTCAAAATTCTTCCAGTCTCTACCTGTAACCCAGTCCAAAGCGCTTCCACATTTTTAGGTGTTTGTTATATCGGCACTCCACTCCTGGTATGAATTTCTTAGTCTGTTTGGGCTGCTGTAACAAAAATATCATAGACTGAGTGACTTATATACAACAGAATGTTATTTTTACAGTTCTGGAGGCTGTGAAGTTCAAGATGAAGACTGCAGCAGATTTGGTGTCTGGTGAGGGTTCACTTTTTGGTTCATAGAAGGCCATCTTTTCACCATATTCTCACATGGCAGAAAGGGTGAGGAAGCTCTCTTGGACCTCTTTTATAAGGTCACTAATCCCATTCATGAGGACTCTACCCTCATTATCTAATCAGCTTCCTAAGTCCCAACCTCCTAATACCATCAAATTGGGGATTAAGATTTGAACATATGAATTTGGGGAGGGTGCAAACATTCAGTCTGTAGCACCAGGCTCCATTCTAAATGTTCTATATGCCTTACCAGTTTATCATAACCAGATATGAGGCCAGTACTACAATCACCCCTATTATTCAGATGAGGAAGTGGAGGCAGGATTGAACTTGCCCTTGGTCAAACGGTCAGGAAGTGGTGAGGACTCAAACCCAGGCAGTCTAGCTCCAGAGCCTAGGCTCTCATAGCCATGTTGGGGCCTGACCAGTTCCTAAAGGGCATCTGTGTTTCTGGCTGTGAATTCATGAGAGAGATAGGATAAGTGCTGGGTGCTCAATTTTCCAGCTGAGGCATTAAAAAAAAAAAGTGAAGTAGCTTGCCTAAAGGAGAAAGTAGCTGGCAGAGCTTGGTGGGCTTTCAGATTCCCAGCTTTCTGTCCAGTGTATCCTGCTCCTAGGTCAGGTATGCCTGGGCATCAAATAGGCATCAGGTACTAAGCCTGGGGGCTGGGTAAGGGGCCCAGCAAGCATATTGATCAGTGGGTGCAGGGTTGAACTGCCACAGGGAAACAGCTGGCATTGCAGCAAGCTGTTCGGGTAGCAGCAAAGAGTAGAAGAAAACAAGTTTGCTGAAAACTACTGTGTGTCAGGTACTTTTACATATGATATTGGGCTTACCCTTTCTACAGCCCCGAGAGGTCTCATCTAGACATGGGGAATGGGCACCGGCAAGCCTTGGCCCAAGTAGCCCAGTAAGGAGGTAGCAGAGCCAGCACTGAAGCCCCAGTCTGGGGACCTGAAGCTGTGACTATCCCTTGGACCCATGCTGTGATCCTGCAGCTCCTGTAACTTCCAAGCCAAGGGCAGGAACTGTTCTCAGTGGAGTGCACAGGGCTGACTGACTGGAGTCCTGTGGGGGTGGAGGACTCTTTCATGGTCAAGCCAAGGGCAGCCTGAAGTTGAGGTCATCGTCTCAGGCTGAGGCTGCCTGTGTACCTCCTGAGTGGCTGAAGCCTGGGTGGGAGAGAGGGTGTGCCCTGTGCCCTTGAGTCACCTGCTGCAGAGGCTGTGGGCCCTGGTGCAGCTCTTGGCTGGGTGGACTGGGGAGTGGGCATGACTGGGTTGACAGTCTGGCTCAGTGGCACAGCAGATGGCCACAACTCTGGGACTTACTACTATCTCCATTTTACAGATGAGGACTCAGGAAGGTTGACTCACACATCCAGTGCCTGGTGGGGCTGGGAGCAAGACTTCCTGACCTCCCAGACTGGGTCCTGCGTCCCACAGCCAAGACAGGTCCGTCAGCAGCAAGCCACGTGGGGGCCACCTCAGCAGCAAGGGCTGGCGTGGGGGAGGAGAGAATGTGGAACATGCATTTTCCTAGCCGTCCTTGTTACTCCTAAGTTGAAGGGTGCACTCATGTGGCTGCCTCTGGCTTTGTTGAATAAAAGGAGGAAAATGTACATGTGTGTGGTGCCCTAAAGATAAAATCAGAGAACTATTAGACAAAGACAACTTCTCAGAGCACCCCCTACCTCCCTCACTGAACAGGACCCTCCTCTTGAGTGAGTTTTGCTCACCCCAGAGGCATGAGTTGGTTCACAAGCCTGCTGGGGTCACGTGAGGCCTGAGACGCAGAGCAGCTGAACCCCACAAACTGCTCTCACTGCAAAGGGGGAATGAGAACACCTGAACTCCCCTGTCCACCCTCAGCCTAGAGATGCCTTTCTCTGGGAGGGAAGGATCCCTTGTGAAATGCCCACCAGGGCGAGGAACAAAGAAGACTGGGTGAGAGCCCGGGTGATCCCTCGCCAGCCAAGCAGCCAGCACTCTGGAAGTGGGTGCAATTCAGCCCATCATCTCAGCACCACCTCATCACAACCGGCTGCCCAACTGCACACTCCACGCTAACTTAAGCCATCTCTCTGCCTTCTGAAACCCCTCTTCACTAGAACACGTGAGGCCCTGCTCCACTTCCCTCAGTCACTGCAGGATGATGGCTGCAGGGTGGTTCCAACTCTCATCTCAGGAACACTGCCCATTTCTAAAACACCTGGGGTTGAGAGGAGCTAGATCAGTGCCCCAAATCAGCCGCAGCTTTGAGGCTGGCAGAAGAGCCATGGGGGAGATTTCAGCTTCTGCCGGGGAGGGAAGAATGTTTTTTGGAGTTTCAGAAACTCTTCCAAGGGTGTTCTCTTCAATTTTTGTGTACTAGACTAAGACGGTGGGGAACGTCAGCCACTGCCACCGGGTGGATTACTGATGGCTTCCCAGTCTAATCAGCCTCCGCAGGGTGCCGCTGCCAAGCCCGTGTGCTTCTGAAGAGAGGGACGGGGCTGATTTATGGTGCTCAGGGTTGCTGTTTCTTGGGGGCAAGCTGTCTCTTCTCAGGACTCTTGAGAGAGAACTCCTAGTCTAATCTGGTTACTTTCTGATTCCCAAGCCAGCCTGCTTCTGCAGGGAACAGCCTTGTGGGAGTCTTCGAGGCACCTGAAAACATTTTAATAAATTCTATGTGTGTCAGGGGATCACAAATGTGAGGGGGCTGCAGTCTCCCAGGTGAGTCATCTTTTGAAAGAACAGCTTCAACATACACAACCACCTGTAGCAAAGTAGAACAAAGCAACATCTAATTCTGCTGATGAAAGCCTTAGAGCTCCACTGACTTCATAAAAGGACCATAAAACTCGAGGTGCTACGTGACCCTGTGATGGCTGGGACCCTGGCCGTGATGTGACCCAGGGACGTGGAGACCAGAGGAAGGGAGGGAATGTATTCTTTCGGCTCCCCCTGCGGGTGACAGCAGGCTGGGAAGGTCCCTCCCCAAGCCCAAGCAAGTCACATCTCAGGTTCCAGCAAGTCTGCCTCCCCTCCCCACATCAGGCTGGAGTGGACTGGTCTCACTCTCACTAGTTCTTAGATGGAATGCACAGCCCCTTGGGGCTCCTACACCCGCTCTGAAAACATCCTCACATCACCTGACTTGAGTGCCGCTGCCTGCCAAGATCCTAACAGACACCAGTGAGGCTTACAGCAAGTGCTCAAGGGTTTATTATGCCTTGAGCCAATGGCCCTGACATGTCCTCATGACCATTAAAAACCCCACCCTGACCCCGGCCACAGACCGCGAGGCCACAGGATCCCGGTTTGAAAACCCAAGCCTGTCCGGCTGGGTTCTTGCACAGGGAGACCCTCTGGTCCCTCTGGAATGAAGCTTCATGGAAGCTCATCTTTCTGGTTTTTCCAGTCTTGGTGGGCAGTCTCTGCCTCACCAAATGCCCTATACACCTATACACTCTTGGGTCGGCAGACTGAGGGCTGGCCATCCCAGGGGGACCCCCTCCTGAGAACTGAGCATCCTCTAGTATCCTGTCAGCTGGAAGGAACACTGCTGGGAGAACGCAAAGAGCCCGCAGCCGGGTACTGGCACTGGCTTTGTAACAACTCAGTCAAACACTGGTGACACTTTTCCAGGGCCTGGAAAGAGGGTGGCAAGCGAACCATCAGCTCTGAAGGTGATGATACCCTGCTCTGCATCCGTGTCTTCTTCAAATGCTTCAGGAGTGTTCTGTTACCGTGTCTGGAATGTCTCTGCCTTCCACAGGACAGGCATGGACGCGGCTCACTGTCGTCTCGGGAGATGAAGTGGGTGCATTAGCTGCCTGCAGCAAGCCCAACTCTAGCCCCTTCCTCCATGCCCCTGAGCTCTCCTGCACTCTCTCCCCATCTTCCAGAGGCTCCGAAGCCTCATGCAGCACCTCTCCTAGATGAGGTGCACCAGCAGGGCAGAGCAGGCCGAGCCCAGCATCAAGCCCACACACACATAAAAGGACATCACTACGCCCGTGGCCTCGGCCAGCTCCCTGGACACGATCTTAGGCCCATAGATGAGAGCCAGGGTGCTGAGGTAGCCATTGCTGAGCCCCAGCAGGGAGCAGAAGAGGACAGGGTAGATGTCAGACTGGAAGACCACAGTCCGCAGGTGGGCGCGGGGCTGGTAGTTACAGAGCACGAGGAGGGGCACGAGGCAGGTCCGGAGCAGCACCAGCCCCGGGAGCACCTTGCTCTTGGGCCCTGGCACCTGGACCCAGACTGTGAGCTGCCGGCCGCTCAGGTCAGCCACGTTGTACAGGAGGAAGATGGTGAGGGGGACGAAGAACTTGGTGGTCCACAGTGAGCCTGAGCTCTTGTGGAGGGACTCGATGTTGGTGCAGACGGCGGGGTAGACGAGGCCGGTGATGAAAAAGACGCAGAAGACACAGAACCCCAGGTTGGCTGTCTTCTTCAGGATGGGGCACAGGGCTGGGGTGTGGGGGTCGCTGGGTCCAGGGGTCACCAGAGGGGCACCGGGGCAGTCCTGGGGCAGCTCGTCTTCACCAGAAAACACGTGGGCTGGACAGATGGGCCTCAGGTAGTACCTGCAAGGAGGAGAGAGGCCGCTGTAAAGCAGGGCCCTTGGGATTTCCAGGGACAAGGAGTGGGCGGCCTCAGAGTCAGCACAGCCAGACCAGGAGGACCCTTAGGCCTGACACATAAAGCCCAAGCCCCAGATGGGCCAGTGGCCCTGGATGATCTCATAAGCACTGCAGGCTGGCCAGGAAAGGGCCTGCTGCTGGGCTGGCCTCTGACCCGTTCTGTGGTGGTTGCCATTGCCAGGAGCAGGGACAGAGGAAACCAGTGCTGACCACCACATCATGAGTGTGGACCCCAGTCGTGGCTTACCTGTCTTTGTTATGCTTTGGAAGGGGGAGCAGAGATAAAATTGCACTTAAAAAATACAAAACGTTACAATTATAAAAAAGTCATACATGCTTGATAAACCCAAATAATACAGAGGGGAAATGATATAGTAGAAAGAGAACTCTCTCCTCCTCCAGCCTCTGATCTCCCTCCTTCGTGGTACTGACCATTCACAATGTGGTGTATACTGTTCCATGCACACAGACACCACACACAGAGTTACATTTCTTAAGCAAAAGTAGTGTCAGACTATACATATTGTAAAGCTTCCTGCAACAGTGTAATACCTAAATACATTCTATAAATAATATATAAATACTTTACATCACTGCCTAAGTCATGGATAATTACTTTTACTTAATTTACTTTATGTTTTTGAGTCGGGATCTCACTCTGTTGCCCAGGCTGGAGTGTAGTGGCATGCTCACAGCTCACCGCAGCCTCGACCTCCTGGGCTTAGGCAATCCTTTGACTCAGTCTCCTGAGTAGCTGGAACTGCAGGTGTGCACCACCAGGCCCAGTTGATTTTTTGATTTTTCTAGATCTCACTGTTGCCTAGGCATAAGTTGTGGATAATTATTATAAATGAGTGCATACACGAAAACTGCCTAAACAACATCTTGTGGCTGTCCTTTCTCAAAGGAACCCATGGCTCTTGTCTGCCGTGTTGCCGCCTGATAGCTTCTGAATGGATATACAATCTAACTGCTCCCTGTCTACAGGCATTTAGGTTGGCTCCACCTTTTCACTTGGCAAATGATGTTGCAAGGAACATCCCTACGCAGACATCCTTGTCCATGCATGTAGTAGTATTTTGGTAGGGCAGATTTCTAGAAGAGGGAACTGCTGGGTTAAAAGGTTTGCACCTTTAATGTTTTGATAGATATTGATGAACTGCTCTCCAAATGGCACTGTCAGTTTCTCTCTGCTGTGCACCACTCGATCGCCCTAACTGAAGTCACCTGTCCTGTTCATCTTTAGGAGAGCACCTATTTATTTCTTTCAAAAGATCTCTAATCTACAATCTGTAATTATCGAGCTGGTTTATTGGTTTATCATCTGTCTCCTTCCATGGAAGACAGCTTCCTGGAGCAAGGACCACGTTTGATTGTTTCCAGCTAAATTCCCCAGGCACAGAGTAGTCCTTCAAATCTTCATTGCTGAAAGAGCTAAAAAACCGCCCATGTAAGTGTCTTCCCCCATAGTTTCAACAATTTCAACTATACCATCAGTCTTCAACTTCTGCTATCCTGACCAGTGAGAAAGCTGGGATCACTCTGCCTTGCTGTGTAACCTTGCCTGAGTCACTCAACCTCTCTGGGCCTCCGGTATCTGAAAACCAGGAGACACAGGCTCCTGTATTAATATAGCTCATACAGAAGTACTTGGTGTATGGGTGTGCGGCGGGGGTTGGGGGGTGTATGGGGTGCTGGGTGAGCCAGCTAGACCCCACAGGATGTTGGCATAAAGCCACACTGGGCAATTTATGATGACAGCCCTCAGGGCCAGGAGGGGCTGGGCAGTGCAGAGGTTTGTGCGAGCCTGGGACACACAAGACACCACGGTTTCAAGCAGATCAGTCCCTTTCATCTTCCTGGAGCTGCTGAGGCCAGCTGAAGTGAGGAACAACCCCGTAACTGGGGAAAGCAACCCCCCAGGTGGAATCAGGGTTCTGCTGAAGGCAACCTGGGACTCTGGGGCTAACAAGGCGACTCTTCTCATGGGGACCGGAGGAATGAATGATGAGAAAAGGCCCTCGCAGCCATGAGGCCGAGAAGCAGTGGGGTCCAGTCGTTAGAGGCTGCTCCAGTAGCAGCTCCAAGGTCAAATCCTTGCCTGGACTCACCAGGTGAGCGACCCAGGGCATGTCTGAGAACTCCCCTAAGCCTCAGCTCCTCATCTGTAAAATGGAAAAATATATGAACTGCACAGTTGTCGTAAATAAGAAACCGACAATCAGTTCTTGTGACACAGGGTAGAGTAGGAGTGGACCACCCCCCCCCAGCTCAGCCGACTCAGGCCCTGTGGGACATGGCACACCACTCGGCCAGCTCTCGGTTTCCGCTTCCTCACCTGTAGAATGGGAATAGCAACTCCTGCCATTCCTCCATCAGGTAAGATAACAGACAGGAAAATGTTTTGAAAAGAAAAAAACATGAGAGAAAGTCAGGGGCTATTTTATAAAGAACAGCAGACAGCAAGAAAGAAGAAGGTGGAACTGGAGAAAGCAAGAGAGACGCAGGCAAGAAAAGTGACCCTGGGCCGGGCTCGGTGGCTCAGCCTGTAATCCCGCGCTTTGGGAGGCCGAGGTGAGTAGATTGCCGGAGCCTGCGGGTTCGAGACCCACCTGGGCAACTTGGCGAGACCTCATCTCTA